ACTGCACCTCATTCATGGACATTCACTGAAATTAAAATCCTTTCCTTCTGGAACTGTAGCATTATCATTTATATGTTTACTAGCATTCATTTAAAGAAATGGGAGGTAGTAGAGCACTATGATTCTAATATGTATTTCCTGATTACTGGTGAGCATTTTATATAATTATATATTTGAGGATATATACCTATCCTCTGTCCATTTGTCTGTCTTCCTGAGATTATCATGAATGAACATCACTAGCAAATTGGATCACTAACTTGATGTTTAAATTTCTAGAAATATAGAACCCAAGTTAGGAAGAAACAGAAATATATGAACAAGCCAGTATGAGAGAAAAAATAAAACATAATAGAAATTTTATTAATTAAGGTAATTCCAGAACTTACTAGCTTCTTTGATAAAATATAGCAATCATTTAAATAAAAAAATACCAGTCTTTCTAAAACTTGATAGCAAATATATAAAATCAGTATATAAGCCAACGTATATCTAACATTCCTAAATCTTAACAATAGAATATTCCCTCAATTTCATTTTCAAAACCTAGTGGAAATCGGTCATTAAAAACTATTAAACATGAATATGTAAATGAAAGGAACAACTCGGATAAACAACTCACTGGCAAAAAAAGCACATAAACTGCTCTATAATGAAGAAAGGAGTTGAGTAGACATCTTAAAACCAATGATATCACACTTAATTTAGAAATTTGTTTTTGCATGTTTTTCTTTCACTTCATGTTATTGTAGCTTTTGTCTTCTTTATGATCAGACTTTTTTTAATTTTAATTTTTTATATTAATTTCAGTTTATTCACTTTGTATCCCAGCTGTAGCACCCTTCCTCATTCCCTCCCAATACTACCTTCTTTCCTTCCTCTCCAAGTCCACTGATAGAGGAGCTCCTTCTCCCCTTCCATCTGACCCTAGCCTATAAGGTCTCATCAGGACTGGCTGTATTGTCCTCCTCTGTGGCCTGGTAAGACTGCTCCCTCTTCAGGGGGAAGTGATCAAAGAGCCAGCCACTGAGTTCATGTCAGAGACAGTCCCTGTTCCCTTTACTAAGGCACCCACTTGAAGACTGAGTTGTTATAGGCTACATCTGAGCAAGGGTTCTAAGGTTATCTCCATGCATGGTCCTTGGTTGGAGTTTCAGTCTCAGAAAAGACCCCTGTACCCATATTTCTTGGTTCTGTTGCTCTCCTTGTGGAGCATCTGTCCCCTCCAGGTATTCTATCTCCCCCTTCTTTCATAAGATTCCCTGCACTCTGCCCAAAGTTTAGCTATGAGCCACAGCATCTTTGATACACTGCTGGGTAGAGTCTATCAGAGGCCTTCTGTGGTAGGCTCCTGTCCTGTTCCCTGTTTTCTCTTTCGATGTCTATCCTGTGCCTGGAAACAACCCAGACGCCCCTCAACTGAGGAATGGATACAGAAATTGTGGTACATTTACACAATGGAATGCTACTCAGCAATTAAAAACAAGGAAATCATGAAATTTGCAGGCAAATTTATAGTTCTTGCTTATTTTATAGAACATTTATTTTTATTTCCTTTATTTATAGTCTATGTATGCTTATTTCTTCTTCTTTTCTTTGTTGTTTAGTTTTGAATTTCCAGGTTTCTTTGATTAGTTCATTATTTTCTAGCTTTCTATATGGTAGGTTCATGTTTTAGTTCTCAATCTTTCTTAGACCACTGACCACACTGGCTTCCTCTTTAAACATATGTTTCTTTGTCCTCTGAGTTCTTTTTGTCTTCCTTTGCAGACAAAGCAGTTTTTCTTCATTAGTTCTTCATCATATGCTATCATTATGAATGAACTTAATTACTCTATCTTTCTTCTAATGCTGCTGGAACATTAAAAATTTTAATTTTATTTATACTTTATATTTTCTGCAGGATGGTGACTTTGTGTATGTTAAAGTTTATATTGTAGACTCCCTAAGACATGATGACAGTTATTTTCTAGTTAAAAATAATTGAAATTAATCCACATGTTTACCTTTTCTGTAAATATTCACATGTTAATGATTGTTGTGGCTCCTGTTTGGTTATCAAATGCCTAAAAACTTTATTTAAAAACAAAAACAGAAACTAAAAAAGGATCATAAGAAAGGAATTAAAGAAGAAGAAAGACACATATTTAAACAGGGAAGAGAAGGAAAACCTATAGCCAAGAAATACAGGACAAAGAATCTTAAATTCCCAAATGGATTTCCTCTATAGTAAGAACCCCAAAATTGAGTTGTCAACTCAGAAGATTTCTCTCTATATTATTTATTATTATTATTTTACTACTATTGGAAGGGTCTCATTATTGTTGACTATTGTTTTTGTTACTGGCATGGTCTCCATGTATAACCCTGACTCACCTAAAACTCTCATTATAGATCATGCTAGCCTCAAATTCACAGCAACACACAAACACACAAACAACAAACAACCTATCTGCTTCTGCCTCCTCTGTACTGAGATTAATGGTGTGTGCTACCAGACTTAACTTAGAACATTATTCTTAAAGGTATTTTTTAGAAAATAGATAAGGCTATTCACAAAATATAGAGCTTTTTTTTCCCTCCCTTAGTTAGTTAACAATGGATCTGTTTTCACAGTTGCAAATCAGTAACACACTTTTATAGCTCAAGAGCTTTACTCATGTAGGGAGTGAGACTTGGAGCACACTGGAGAGAATGCCTTGCTTCTAGAGGTTGAGAAGAAGCAAGGTTTCAGTCCCATCACTGTGTCTTCCTCCAGTTCTAGATTTTGGTCTTCATTCTTGCCATGACCAGAACTAAAAGTATGTTTTTGTGTCTATGTTTTATCCTTTGTTACAAGTAGCTTTGATTATATGTGTTAGTAGATCTTCCTAGTTTACTCATTCGGCTCTGTTTTCAAACATCTAAACAAGACTGTTGAATGAAGAACAGCCAGGCCAGACCATCCCTCTACATCATCTCTATTCTTTTGACATTCCGCTACAGCTGCAGAGTCCATCTGTTCATCCTACCGTACATCAGGGACATTTGCTCAACTATGTTCATAGCAGCTTTTGTGAATAGCCAGAATCTGGCTAAACCAGATGTCCCTAAACCAAAAAATGGATACAGAAATTGTGGTACATTAACACAGTGGAATACGACTCAGCTATTAAAAACAATGAAATCATGAATTAGCAGGCTAATGGATGGGACTATAAAAGAGCATCCTTAGTGAGGTAATCCAGAAGCAGAATACACATGGTGTATACTCATTTATAAGCAAATATTAGTCAGATAATAATAGGATAAACATATTAAAGTCTACAGACCTAAAGAAGGTAAATAACAAGGAGGGCCCGAGGGAAGATGATTAACTTTGATTCAGAAGGGCAAACGGCATATATACTGGAAGTGGTAGGAGAGAGGGAGCAGGACAAGAGCCTACCACAGATATCCTCTAAAAGACTCCATCCAGCAGAGGATCAAAGCAGATGCAGTCAAACTCTGGGCGGAGCACAGGAAGTCTTATGGAAGAAGGGGGAGATGTAAAGACCCAAAGGGGACAGGAGATCCGCAATGAAAACAACAAAGACAAAAAAATGGACCCACCCAGGGCATGCCGAGACTCATGCATCAATCAAGGACCATTCATGGAGAGGACCTAGAATCACTGCTGCGATGTAGCCCATAGGCAGTTCAGTCTCCATGTGGGTTCCCTAATAAGAAGTTGGGACCATCTCTGACTTGAACTTGGTTACCTGCTCCTTGATCACTTTTGCCTGGTGGGGCAACTTAGCCAGACCTTAAAGAAAGGGGATCCAGGCAGTCCTGATGAGACCTGATAGGATAGGGTCCGATAGTAGGGGAGGAGGTCTTCCCTTATCAGTGGACTAGGGGTGAGAGTTGGGAGGAGGGGAAAAGGAAGGATAGGTGGGATGGGGAGGAGACGAGGGAAGGGATTACAACTGGGATACAAAGTGAATAAATCGTAAAATAATAGTAATAACAACAGCAACTATAGTAGTAATAATAAAGAGGAAAATGGAAAAAGAAAAGAAAAGAAATCTCCCTCACTGACATGTCAACTGGCATGTCATTATGCAGGTCTTGTTGATGCGCCACTGTTGATGCGAGGTCGTGTGTCCCTGTCAAGTCTAGTAGACACTATGTAGCAGCCAACATCCTGGTCTTCCACCCACTGCTTCCAATTCTCTACCCTGCTGCTGCAGTGTCCCCTGAGTTGGGTATGGAGGTTGTGCTGTAGATGTACCAACTGGGATCTTGCATCTCACAGTCCGCATTTTGACCACCCATGGAGCTCCGTAGTAGCCTCTGTCTGAAACAAAAAGAAGCTTATTTTCTGAGGAGTGAAAGTTACAGTTACCTTTGTATAGAAGCGTAACTCTATTATACAGTTGAAAATATATTTGTTTAGAAAAATAAAAACTGGTAGGTTTTCCTCTAGTGTCTATGACCTCTCCAGCCACAGGTAGTTAGCTAGGTGTCCACTATCTACTATGAATTTTCTCCTATTGATCAGGCCTTATTCCAATTAGATATTTGTTGACTACCACAAGATGTAAATGCCATTATGGCTACGTTGCCAGGAAAGTCATTGTAAATATAAACATTTGGGCTAAAGAACTGTGATGTCTTACTTAATGAAGACAAATTTATAACAATCTTTCTAACAGTGAGCAGTACATTTGGCCTATTCAATATTGTCAATTCTGTGTTAGTGAATAACAATTGAGGAGATAATTTTCAGTTTTTCTAATTTGCCTTAAAATAAGTAAATCATAAAATGTGAAGGAAAAAGAACCTTTACAATGTGAAATTATTACACAAAAATTCCAAAGCTTTTTTTTTAAATGTACTATCTAAAATTTCATAGAAAAGTAAATACAAATCCTCTCTTTTTCTTTCTCTCTTTTTCTCTCTCTCTCACACACATCTGAAAACATTCAGACATTTATCTGTATTTTAACACCTCTATAATTATTATTTCATTCTTTCAGGTGGTATATTTGAATATGTGGAGTCTGGTCCAATGGGAGCTGAAGAACTTGCATTTAGATTTGCTGTGAACACAATCAACAGGAACAGGACTTTGCTGCCCAATACCACTTTAACTTATGACACCCAGAAGATCAATCTCTATGATAGTTTTGAAGCATCTAAGAAAGGTAATTAATAGCTACTTACTGTGGATTCTAAAACTCAGATTTCAAGCTGCACTTAAGAGTGTTCTTGATTCCTTTATGTAGTTATTAAATTATTAAGTACATATATATGAAAATATTTGTATTTAATATCTTCATACATTTTATTAGAAAAAATGTTGATTTTATAAATTTTTATTAGCTTTTATTTTTAAAAAATCCAATTATATATGAAATTAAACTTGAGGTAGACAAATTGTCTTTCCCTACTAATCTACTTTCATTGTTATTAATGTTTTAGAATATTAACTATTAACTAATAAATGATAAAAGACTTGGCTGTACTTACAGCCATATTAGATTCTCAGCACTCACATGGCAATGAACAACAATCTGAAACTCTAGTTCCAGGAGAATCTGACTCCCAGTCTGGATTCTCAGGCTTCTGCATGCATGTGGCGCAGACATAATGCACATATAAAACACTAGTACACATTAAATAGAAACATTAAAAACATCTCTGAAAAAGAACCATTACCCAGGGATATATTACACAAACAGCAGTATCAATAGTGAGTCTGTTTAAATAGTGTGATGTCAATGATCTTTTCATATATCCATAGATGATATTATAGGAGGACAGATCCTATCTTTGGCACAGTGATCCTTTAGGTAGCAGACATTAATGCCTTCCATACCATAGATCACTTAAGAGTGGACTAACACAAAATTTAGTTTCACCATATGCTTCAAAACAATATTTGCCTTTCTGTGATGCTAACATTGTTTTACTAGCTACCTAACATTGATGGAAACATACATAATTATTCGTAATTATAATCTGATGAGGTTTTCTTCCAAGCTTATTAATATTAATGGCAGTTGATATGTTACACTGTTGCTTAAGATGAAAGTCACTTTCTTTTCCCTAGATGCTAACCTGTGTTTTTCAAAGCCATATTATGCCTGCCCTTTGAATTCATATCTCTGCGAATACAAATTAGTTTCCACATTTCATATCTGTGTCATGGTGAAAAAGGTTTAGAAGACTGGAAGGAAAAGGTTAGAGTTGACTGTAAAATGTTCTGTTTGTCACAACAAATGCAAACTAAGTCAGTAATTGCAAGACAAATACATTTGATTAGTAGTATAGCTCATGATTATTTCCATTAAAGAAGAAACTGCTGCTAATGAAAGTATTCAGACTGAAGCAGATGGAGTGAATAAAATATAGATAAAATATTAATAGATTTCTTAATGGTGACTTCAAAGGCTCATTGTAAAAATGTAGACTAGAATTTTCCTGAAAACAGAGTACTATTGGGTTTACCCTAGCACAGTTCTTACATAATAAAGTCACCTGGTTTATGAAATACTATAAAAACAATTCAGATTAAACATCGAGTCAAAACCAACTTGTAATCTAGCTGAAAAGAGGAAAACTCAAGTAACATAAGTTTGCCACATGTCAAAAGGGTGCATACTATCATTTTTATCTTGTTTATTGAGCTTATATTGCTTAGGACGTAAATATGTGAAGGAAAAGAGATCCAAAGTAGATTTTGAGTTTTATAATGTCTCTACAAATACACACAATGGTCACGAAAGTAACAATTAACTTTAAGTTGGTAATCAACTGAGACATTTAAAAAGATTCTTAGTCATTTTTATGTGGCAAGAAAATGACAAGAAATGAGATGTTTAATTTTGGAATTTTTAAAGATAAATTTTCTTATGTATTTCATATAAGCTGAATTTGCTGAATCCACTTTCTTGTAATAAACTGAAAATATTTAGTCATAAGTTCATGAGACCTAAACCCCAAACAGTGATCCAACTACAGTCAATTAAGAAAAACTGAAAGTGGGAGAAACAGTTTTCTCGAGAGAAGAGCACACAAATTGGTTATCCCATATCAAATGGTCAGCCCAGAAAACATGCATACGAGGAACGTTTTACAGAATAATCAGGTTATTTATGTATTTGGGAACACACACACACACACACACACACACACACACACACACACACCAACAACTAAAGAAAAAGAGGCCATGAATTTGAAAGCAGGCAATAGGAGGGGAATGTTAGGGAAGGCAGAAAGGGAATGAAGAAATAATGTAATTATTATCATATATATGTGTGTATAATTAATGAAATACAGCTTTATATTAAAGAAGAAGCATATTTTCCAGGAAAACATTTTGGGGGAGTTAGTAGCAATTCATGTTCTCCTCTCTTCTCCTTATTAACAGACTTCTTTTCCTCTTCAGCTTGTGATCAGCTGTCTCTTGGGGTGGCTGCTATCTTCGGGCCTTCGCACAGTTCGTCAGCAAATGCGGTGCAGTCCATCTGTAATGCTCTGGGGGTTCCTCACATACAGACCCGCTGGAAGCACCAGGTGTCAGACAACAAGGATTCCTTCTATGTCAGTCTCTACCCAGACTTCTCTTCGCTCAGTCGTGCCATCTTGGATTTGGTGCAGTTTTTCAAGTGGAAAACCGTCACGGTTGTGTACGATGACAGCACGGGTAAGAGCAGCTGCCCCTGAGGCTGATTCCAACGCGTTATGTTCTGCAGCGCAATCCGAGTTCTTTCTGTTCTTTCTTGGGTTGTTTGCTTTTACTGGTTTAATTTTGTTGTTGTGGTTAATTTATTATTATTACCTCTATGTGAAAGGACTGAAAGAGTTTTGGAGCCAAATATCAGCACTAGTTTCACATATCCAATATATATATATAACAGCCAAATCACAAACATTTCTCTGTATTTATAAAATAAGCCTCTGGCGTTTGATCCCTAACATTAAAAGCTAGAGATAATATGAATATCATGTTAGTATATCTTTCAATAACTTCGGGCAGAATAAGAGTGGTTGTCTACAACAGAGTCTTGTGATGGTCAGTCAACATCAAAAAATTTGCAATTTGGCTACAGATTTTGTTTTATGCAAATAAAACATAAAATGTATATAGCAAATCATAAAATCCAAATGTTTAAGTAGTATACTAAAATATATACTTTTTTATTAGAAAATGTTGAACAAATGATAGCATTGAAATATTCAAGATTTGAGAAAGTGTGTTTGTATAGACACCATTAGAAACTTAAAAATAAAATTAGAAATGGAATTTAATGAAGTAATATTCATGCCACCTCTTTAGAATAATTTAATAAATATAATTCGTACAGTGGCTTTCTCTGTTTTAAAGATTGCTAATGGTGGTTGATTTTTACCTAAGATTATTTATTTCAAACAAGTCTCAGAAACATAAGAAAGTAAATTGTAAAATTAAATGTATAGTTTTCTGCTGACAGATACTTTGGTGAAGTAACTGTTATGCTTATCATGATAATTGATTTCATGTAATGGTATTTTTCAGTATTCTAAATATTGCTCTAAATTTGAATGCAAAACATTTTATTTCAGGCCTTTTCACCATGCCTTCAAATTTACACTGGGATTGAAATTCATTTGAATTTAAATTCTTCCCAAACATGGCAGGAACGTGCTTTGTTCCCACTCACTTTGTATGCTTGCAATGGACAAAACATCATGGAGAAATTTATCCCTTTTATAATAAAATGATCAGTGCCAACGAACAGATAGAGACTCTGCTAAGAGAACAAAGAGTTTTGAGGTTGGAAAAACAATAAAAATAGTTTTAAACATATTTTCACTGAGTTAAGAAAGAGCTAACCTTCATAAAAGTTAATAATCTTATTTATACTGTTGAAAATATAGAAATATTTAACTAATTTTAGCTTATACATTTATCAATTTTTAAAAAAAAAAAAAAACCACAAGTAGTTTTAGTGGCTCTTTGAACTGAAGTCAGAGTTATTAAGCTTAATATGTGTTTCCCCCCAAATAATTTCCTTTATGCAGTTGGTAAAGCTCTCTTAGACGTCTGTGTATTAACAGCAAGCTCTCCTGTATTTGCCTAATGTGTAATACCCAGAGAATCTTCAGATATAAATTAGCCAGCCTGCATTTTTGTCTTTGGATGTTCATATACACAAGTAAAGAAAGTGGATTTAGTCATTTCTGTCTTACCTCTTAATCAGTTTTGAGCGTTCATTGCCTAAACTTCGTACATACTTATTTTTACAGGTATTCATGTGCATCTAGAGGGAGTGTGCAGAATATGTGCAGTAGAATATGTAGTCAGCTCATATCACAATTAGTAAAGATTCACATGCAACATAAATTATATTCTAAACATTTCTACCTTCAGCACAAAATCAAATAAACAAATTACCTATATGTATATATATATAGTCAATTACATTTATATACTTGTAGAGACCAAGACCTCAAATTAAATTATTGAAAACCTTTCAAATTCCCGTTCAAAAGCATGGCATGATAGTGTCTTTTGGTAGTAATCCAAGCATGTGTATTGGTAAGATTACCACTAGTATGAGGTTGGCCTGGCCAACATAGCAAGTTCAAGGCTGGCCTGTGATACAGAGTGAAACCTTGTCTCAATATTTACTCAGTCCCCTTATAGGATGTTTCATCACCTTATTATTTTGAAAACTATATAGACTTTTCAGAAGTATTTGATTTTGTAAATAATATATTAATACTTATGCATAGAAGAAGTGTATCTTAAAAGCCTTAAGACAAAAAATTATGGCTTTTATATTGTACGCAATATTTAATTCAGCACATTGATTACACACCTGCTGGTTAGGACTGGCATTTATAGGCATGATCATACACCAGTAGAGGGCCAACACTCGTGCTTCCAAGCTATCCTTATGAATATTTGGTTATTCACGTCATTGTATTATCCTTAATTAGCTAATTATATTGGTAACTGAATAATATTATCTCTTTTTTTTTACTTTTTTATTTTTTATTAATTACACTTTATTCATTTTGTATCCCCCCATAAGCCCCTCCCTCCTCCCCTCCCAATCCCACCCTCTCTCCCATTTCTGCATGCATGCCCCTCCCTAAGTCCATTGATAGGGGAGGTTCTCCTCTCCTTTCTGATCTTAGTCTATCAGTTCTCATCAAAAGTGGCTGCATTGTCCTCTTCTGTGGCCTGGTAGGGCTACTCCCCCCTCAGGGGGAAGTGATCAACGAGCAGGCCAATCAGATTATGTCAGAGGCAGTCCCTCTTCCCATTACTATGTAACCCACTTGGACACTGACCTGCCATGGGCTACACCTGTGCAGGGATTCTAGGTTATCTCCATGAATAGTCCTTGGTTGGAGTATGAGTCTCTGGGAAGTTCTCTGTGTTCAAATTTTCTTGTTCTGTTGCTCTCCTCTTTGATGTTTAAATTTTTACTTTTGAGAACTTGGCTGTCATTGTTTTATATAATAGAAGTTTATATAATAGAAGTGACAGTAAATTTTTTAAATGCATTCCCATGTATATAAAATTTTGTTGCTTGTAATTTTAATCTCTCAAATTACTACTAATAAAATTTTTTAAAGATGTGAATTGCCCAAGTAGAGTAGATTACAACTTGAAGTTGTGGGGAGAAAATGCAGTTACAGCAAGGACTGTGGACTGAAAGGAGCTCCTATACCCACACTAGTCATGATAAGTACTATTGACTTGATTGTAGACTCATATATCAATTGCTCACAGAAAGGTAGACTTATGCCATTTTTTACATGTTTTTTTCCAGACTTATTTATTACATATGCTATTCCTTATTTGTGTTCATTTCTTTTTTGTTATATTGTCCAGTTTGATACATGATCATTTCATCCATTTCTTGCTCCCACACACCAACAGTCGGATAATAGACAAAATGTATTTCTGCACTAGAAGAACTTCTTAAAATGATGTTATCAGGGGCTATTTATTGTTTATGATAATTAGCATTTGTTGTTGTCCTGGATGACTGCTTTTAAACACCACAAAAATCTGTTATAGCTCTGAACTGTGTCCAAAAATGATGGAAAAGAATTGGCTTCAGAAACAAAGCTGTGTTTCTGTCAGTCATTTTGGAACATATGATTCATTTTAAATATAAACTAAAAATAAATTGGATAGCTGTCAGCTTGTAAGCAATTCCAGGATAAGCTGTGAATATTTGCTTTAAAATTCCTGTGTTTCATCTTTGTTTATAGATCATCAGTCCATTAACAAAAAACTCTGGGCTGGTAAGCAGGAGCCTAGGATTCTGTCCCAGGCTTGCTGCTAAATAACTGGAAAACAGTGGAAAAGAAAGTAAGGGGATAGGAATTCCTGACTACTGATGAGCTATCATGAATTAGATATTGTGCAAGTTGCTTTCATAAATTATTTTGCTCAATATTAAAAAAAAGTTTTTTCTGAGTCCCAAACAAAACAGGTTATCACTTCATCAGGCCAGATTCCTAGCTGTGCCTCCTACCCAGCAGCAGGCTTGGAAACATGGGGTATCTCTCTCAATTATTTCTTTACTTGGGGTCAAAATCAAATACTAATTGCGAATTATTTTTTACTTCTCTGATCCCTCAAATCTACTCTTTACCGTGTTTTGCTACTTTTAGAACCTACTCTGTGAAGAGTGTTATAACATGAGATTTGAATTTACTTTTGTTTACTTTCTAAATTCATTTTCATCATTAATTTTAATAAGGATGTGGCTCAAAAAGAACCATTTGTGGTAAAGATTTTCTGTTTGCATGGTGTATAGTGTTTTGAGAATACTGAGGTACAGATGGGAATAAGTTGAAAACAGAAGCAAAATAATTTCAGATTGGGAAAAGGCAAGAATTTCATGTAAAGAGAAATTTTATGGAAAAGCATCAGAGTAGAGATTTCTAATACTTCAGGGACACAGACTCTAGGATTAGTAAGCAGATCAGTTACAAAGGCATGAAAAAGTATTATATACTCACTGTGTGCAGCTAAAACATTAAAATATTAGATTAATGGACAAAGGAAAAGATAAAGAGGTTAACAGGAAATGATGATTGTTCTTAAATCATGTTTGATGATTTTATGAAATGATTTCCTGTATCCTAAATACATTCCTTATCATATCCTTAAAAGAAAGAATTATTGCTAAGCATACAAAACTTCCATTGCCATCTGCTCTGCTTTTTTATATGGACTTTTTTGTAGTATGAGAAAATAAGAATGACCTCTATTAAAAGTGGAATGGGTTCATGGTATAAAAGAACCAGAGTACTGATAGTGTGTGGGCAGAAATAGAATGAGAGTTACTAAAGAAATGAAGATCAGTTTTTATAGTTAGGGATTGAAAGTCAGTTTCTATTTTAGGATTTTGTATACTTAACAACTTAATCTTTAATTAATTTCTATCATACAATTGTAAGGGAGAAAGGAGATCAAGAACTTTGACTTTAGCGAAAGTCAACAAATTTTGAGTACTAACTTGGGTGGAATATATTTATACACAGTGTTCTAGATATATATTTAGGTACTTTTAGGGTTAGTTTGAAAAGTTACTCAATAGAGAAGAGTGATTTTTGTTTCATCTAAACCTACATTTAAATGGGATACAATACAATAAAGGGTTTCAATGGAGTAAGTTAATTTAAAAATATATA